AGAGCTGGCTTTGTGAAGTTGTTCACTTGTTTTTAGGTTTCACAAGTTGTAGGTGAAGGGACTCAGGCTGGGTTGCTGAAGTTTGAGGCTGAGAGGCAGGGACCCTTGGTGCTTTAGGCTCCTGTGCTGTGGGGTGATCTGGTGTAGTTGCAGGAATTGGCTTCAGATTTTAAGTGCAGACCAGCTGGGAAAGGAGAGGCATAAAGGTGAACTTCAGCTGGGGTTTATCTGTGTCTGGACAACTGTGAATATTTTGCTGGGGTACACTGGAGATAGGAGACTACTGAAGACTTTTGCACTTGGATTTTGTTTTTAAAACTTACTTTTTCCTTTAAAGAACAGTAGAAGCAGACTGTCCACTCCAAAATGTCTTTTCTCTGAACACAAAGAACAAACAAATGTATCTTTTATGATGGTGGAAAAATGTTAATGCAAATAAACTTCACAATATTAGATTTTCACAATGTGCCATGTATTTATTTATTGGGTTTGAGACATGGTCATGCTGTAAATTTCAAGCTGCCCTTAAACTTAAGCATGTAGCCCTGCGGGCCTTGAAGTGGCAGCCACCCTCCTGCCTCAGCCACCCTCCTGCCTCAGCCTCCCCAGTGTTGGGATTACAGGCGTGCACCTCCATGCCTGGCAAAATGTACCTTTCAATCCAGTTAATGAAGATTTTTATCTTTTAAAAGAACACATGACAATATCATGTATTTTTATAATCACGAAAATGGAAGATTTTGTAATTGGGTATATAAAGTTCTGACTCAAGATACTTATTTGACAACAGCCACATAGAATTTCCCAGTGCTTTTGCCACATGCGCTCTGAAGGTGGGTTTCTGGTCTAAGAAGTGATTCTCTGGGCTGGGGAGTTAGCTTGGTGCCACCGCCTGCCTGCCTTGCAAGTGGAAGGTCCCAAGTTCGATCACTGGTCCCAAAAAGAAAACTACAAGTAGATCTCTGATGAGTCAGGACTCCACGTGAGGGGCGTGTGGGCAGCAGCCCGGCTCCTGAGTTGGCACAGGACATATGGCCAGGAGTCTGAGGCCAGGGACGAGCTGCTGTGTTCTGGCTCAGAACTAAGGGGTGCTGGGCTCCCATTTATGCCAGAAATACTGGGCAACAAGCAGTCTGTTTTCCTAGGTGCCACTTACAGTCCCCATGCCAGGTGCCACAAGCGCTGGCTGGACCCGTGGTGCACTCAGTTCGCCTCTGCCACATCCTGAAGAGCACAATTGGTCTCCCAGGGCTATCTGAAGAGAGGTATTAATTTATGGGTTTGATCTTTTATCAGTGAAATTTCATTGACCTAAAGTAGACACAACGAAAGCAACACACAAGCCCCCTTCGTTTCCCTGGTCAGCTGGTCTGGCCTAGGGAGCCAGGGCATCTAGCGGGTTCCTCCCCTCTCCAGGACACCTGGGTCCTCCTGTCCCTGCAGGAAAGAGCCTTAAGAGGTGCTGACAGCCAGACCTCCAGGGCCTCTGTGGCTGACTATATCCTGACACCCACCCCTCTGGACCAGAGAAAACCCTCACGTTTTGTGTAGGTACATTAGTAACTCATCTCAGACTGGGAATTTAATAAACTTCAACTCTGTCCATGCAGTAAACAAAGAAGCAGTTTCTACTACTTTGTGGGTAGGGGACTGGACCCAGGGCCTTTTGAGATGGGCTTGCTGAGTGACACTGCCCAGGCGGGGTCTGGCCTTGGAATTTTCTGCCTCAGCTGTTCATCATTAAAAGTACATTTAGCAGGCTGGGGATTTAGCTCAGTGGTTCCACTGCCTACCTTGCAAGCACAAGGGCCCGATTTCGATATCCGGGGCCAAAAAAAAAAAAAAAAAAAGCAAAGGAACCAATAAACATCTTTTTAAAAAAAGTATATTTAGCACATCTGCAGAAAGCGGTTTCTAAAGTACTATGCATAAAAATTACTAAAAATGTTGTGTCACTTGGGCCATTCCATTTGAGCCCAGACCTTCCTTCAATGTGAAAATACTTCCGCTCATTAGCTTTTAAAAAAGGGTCACGATGGGTGTAGTAACACATTGCAAAAATTGCCTTTAAATTTCAAAAAGGATGTGAATGTCACTTACTTTTATAAGGATATTTTATTGGTCATTAATGTACTATTTTTTAAAAAAAATACTATTCTGTAAACTGTCATACCATCTGGAATTAAGTCTCTTAGAAAACATTAGAAAGTGTAATTCCTACTTACGCTCTTAGTAAGAGATGTGTGTATCCAGGATGCTTATGAAACAGACGCATCAGCAGCTGCCCCTTTACATCCATACTTAACTAAAATACATACTCTTGAGGAGAAAAATATTCTCAGCTGCACAGAGTAAATGCATTGGCTAGTTCTGAGATTGAGAAACTAATGTAAATTCTACCTTATAAGAGTATCAATCTTCCAACAGCGTGGACCTGCCCTACTACATAAAGCCCAAACTCATGACCGACTTTTTCAACGCCTGGAGTCCCGGCACTTGGGAGGCTGAGGCAGGAGGCCTCAAAGCAGCTTTCACTACACAGACCTTGTTTCAAAAAGCAAAAACAAAAAGGTGCCTTGTATAGCCACTCCTCTCATTACTGAAAACTTCAGGCAAATAAATAAGGACAAACATTTTTCTAACAAAATCACTTTTATTTTAAAAATTGCTTTACTACCAGGTACAGAACTCTGGAGGCAGCGTTCTTGGTTTCAGCTGGTTCTCTCAGGTGTTCAAGGCCCACGTTCCAGTGCGACGCTACCTCTGGGCAGGAGACGTCGCTGAGGATACACAGTGAAGTGAATGCCCAGTGCTCACACCCTCTAGAAAGTGAGAGCTGTGTGCCTGGGGACAGGCCAGGGACAGCCTCTGACCACAATCGCCTGAGTGCCACTGTCTCAAGTGCTCAACTCAGAAGACGGTCAGTCACACGGTTCAACTTGATCTACTCAAAAAGTCCTTGGAAGTTTACACAAACATTATTTGCATCCACCTTCAGTTTTAAAAAATGCAGTGGATATTCAGCCCATTGGTAAAACTTATTTCTACTTGCTACAGACAAAATTCCTGTTGATAAAATCTTTAAAAAGTTAACTACAAACTTGTAAAAACACTGCTCTTCTATATGGCATTTCAATTTTAGAACAGGTTTTTAAAAAACCAATTTATATCCAAAACTTGGATAAAAAGTACAATCTCAAGTCTGTTCCCCTTAAGCCCCACGGCCCAAACACTAATCTCCTAAGTGAATAAATACACTATTTAGTATGGTACAGTAGGTACAGGTCATCAACGTCTTCTGCACTATTTCAAAAAAGGCAAATAGTTCTATTTCACTAAAATATGAATTTAGTTGGAGGTGGGATCATCTGTTTATCCTGAAAGTTCAGTGTTGCCCAAACCCGTTCCTGCAGAGAAAGCTTCCGGACAGGAGTGAATGTGACAATACCGAGGCCATCTAAGCGCTGGGCCCGGTGAGACTGTCCCGTGACTGTTCAAATGGGGGAAGAGAGGGCAAAATGAGGTACGTCTCTTACATTCAACAGCGTAAATAAATACAAATGCGGTTTTACAGGAACAGGAACATAACTTTAAGGGTTTTATTATCAAAGTCTTGTAAAACAATTTCAGAAACTGTACATCAACATGGCACAGACTGTAGCCTACTTTTGTTTTTACTGCACAAAAGTAAAGCTTGAAACTCCTGTAACTAAGAAAACAGTTGCTAACTACTTTGCAGATAGATCATCACTGTGCATGAAGGTTACTACTGCAGGAATAAGAACACAAATTTATTGGTTTTATACAACTTGAGATCAAATAAAAGTACATTATCAAGTAGATTTGTTTTAAAAGTATGATGATCAATTTAAAACGCACTATCCCCTTTTTTTTTTCCAACGCAGCTTAAAACAATAAAAGTGGAAAATTGAAAATCAGGACAAAAGATTAAATTCCTTTAAAGGTGGACTTGGGAAAGGCGGATAGCTTTTAATGATGTGGAGGTGGAATAAATTATTTCAGGAAAAAAATTTCCAAACACCTATGAAAACGTATACAACTCTACTTCAAAATGTGTTGCTATTTACTCACCGCCAAAGACAGTTTTATGTGAAATCTTGTTTCTGTAATTAAAGCCTAATTAGCCATCAAAAAAGGTTAGTGCATATATAACCTTTCAAAGTTAAACAAAAGCCACAAAAATCGAGCCACAAGGCTTAAAGGATTATCTATTTCAAATGCTCATTTCCGGATGTAACTAAGAATGTTATTTTGTCATGTCAACAAACAAGACCACAAGCAGATCCATCCTGTGGAGGGTTTTAACGACAGTTACAATAACATGCAATCAGTGCATTCCCTACATGGCTCTATAACGGCAACAAACCGAACGCTAGACTCTAAGTGACGGACGTACTGAGGGAAGGGGCTCACACGACACAGACCCCACGCCTGCTGTGGGCGCATGCAGCGGTCGCTCTGTGACGGAGACCGCCAGGCTGCTCCTCGGACCTCACCAGGGCGAGAGCCGCTTCCCAGGTACCGTTTCTACAAGGCTTCTTCGGGTGGCAGTAACTGCTGTCCCCATCGGGAGATTCGGAAGCATCTGGAACTCAGAGCTGTACGCGTGTGGCTTGAGCACAGAGGAATGACACCGACGCCCGCCCGTCCGTCCGTCCACAGGAGGCCCGCGGCGGCGCTCAGTCGCTCATGTCCATGTCCTCCTCGTGGTGGTCGTCCCCGTTCACCTTGGACTCTCGCAGCGCGTCGCCGGCCGCCTTCTCCACGGAGCTCTCCTTCATCTTCGGGGAATCCGCCTCGGCTGGCTGCTTCTCCTCTTTCTTGTCTTTCTCGCTGTCATAGCCCTGCTCCTCTTCATCGTAGTCCCGTGTGACCTGCTTTCCGGAGGAGAACAAGGAAAGTAAGCTTCTGGAGAGAGAGCCACAGCCCAGAGCCCGGCGCCCCAAGCCGCGCCGAGTCGGCCTGCATACATACTTTCACGTCCTTGTCACTCTCGGATTTTCGTTCCCGGTCCTTTTCCTTGTCCTTACTCTTTTTCTTTTTGCTTGTGGATCGTTCCCTTTCATCTCTGCTTCGTTCTTTGTCTCTGTCTTTCTTCTTTTCCTTTTTATGTCTAGAATAAGTTAGAAGGAGCTCAGAAAAGAAGCTTTCCAAGGACCCTAGCAAGTTTCACCCTGAGCATAGTGACAGGGCTGATGCTCAGATGTCCGGCTCGGTCCAAGTTCAGAACAGGATGAACGTACAAGCTGTGCACAGGCGACACAGGCAAGACGGCGGCCACCTGCTTACAGGCCTGGGACGCCGACTTCCAGAGCACGACTGAGCAGCCTCAGCACCGCTAAGCGCCTGACACCCCACACAGGAACACAAACTGACACGTTTAAGAGACAGGACAGTCTTTAAAACTTACAGCTTCCAACAGTTTGAAGACACGTCCACCCGGTCAGCATTCTTACCTTCTAGGGGATGGGGAGCGAGACATTTTTCTCTTAGGCGATCGAGGCTTTTTGGGAGATCTTGTTCCACTGCGGCTTCTTCGTCGCCGTCTCTCTCTGGAATTACAAACGTGGAGACTAGACTTTGAAATTCAGTACGATCTATTCAGCCCTACTAGGCACTGTTCAACACACTTCCCATAATGCAAGACCTGTCTCACAACCCTGTCTCGAGCTCAAACCATCTTAAGCTACACAAAGCACCAATTCACCAAAGCTTAAAGCAAGAAGGAGAAAATCAGTAGCAACCTATTACCGAGGCAACTGGTTTTTGATTTAAACAGGCACAGGTTATTTCAGGAATGTTGGGATCTGGAAGGCAGACACTACTATTCAAAGCGTTAACTTTAAAATCTTTACATGAAATGCAGAGGAGGCTTAGTGCAAAGGTATCAGCTAAACTGACTCCCTGTATCCCACCAAAGTCCCACCAACCCTTGAAACAGCTTTCACTTCCATATTCCTGTGGCTTTAAAAATACAAGGCTGTACTGTCCACAGGCCCATCCCCAAGGGGCACGGCCCGTTCTCCCCGCCCACTGCCAGGGCTGCGCACGGAGCCTCTCAATTCTCTAGGTGGAAGAGAGCTTTTACGTTGTACTTCTGTGCCCCTCGGTAGCCTGCTTCAGAGGAAAACGTGATACGTCGTCAAAACGCTCCAAAAACGACTTCAACTTCGAGTGATCCAGTGACTGAGGCCTTTATGGTAAGGGCACGACCTACCCTCGCCTCTCTCCCTCTTTAAAGTGAACTCAACTCTCTTCCTGCTTCCAGCCCAGGAACAGAAGGGCGAATCACAGGCCCCAGCGGCTCGCTGCACGGCACCTCCTGCCTCCGTGCCCTCTGCCGCTGCCCCTCAGCGCTCTCAGCTTGGCGGACAGCTGCTTCCGTTTCCTCACGCCCTTACTCCTGAAGGGCACTTTCACCACCCTTCAAGGAAACTCTGTTCCCAGGGCCAGGGATCAGCTCAGTGGTTCTGCCGCTTGCCTCCCAAGCATAAGGACCTGAGTTCGACCCCTGGTACCAAACCAAACCAAGCAAAACTGTTCCCATCTTTCCACCCGTGTGTGAGCGCCACTGTGGCTGTGGCTCCATCCCATCCGGACCCTTCCCAGAAAGGGAACCACCCCGATGCATGTCCCCCGCCCCCGGAGCGCGCGTCACTCTCAGCGCTGACTGCTCTCCTGCACAGAGCATCACTGTTTATTCACTTGTCCAATGATGCACCTACTGGATAACTTTCTGCCTGTCATGCTGTAAATAATCTGTGTAATCTTACACCTCAAACCTGCCTTATGTTCGTTACAAAGCAGATGCACTATTCTGAGTTCATATCAGCCCTGCTCAGGGGCCCCACCTCCCCCTCCTCTTACAGTACCCCAATGTGAGCGCCGCAGTGAGTGAAACGGTGTCTCGTGGTGACCTGGCCTGGCGTTTCCTGCTAACGAATGGTGGTGAACATATTCCATGTACTTACTGGGCACCTGTGTACTGACAGACCCTCGAGTCTGGGGAGTGTGTGTGGGCATGGAATTGGAGACTGAACCTAGGGCCTCACACCGAGCCACACACTCCTGGTCGTCTTTATTTAATTTTAAGATGGAGTTTCAAGTTGCCCAGGCTGGGTAATTCTCCTGCCTCAGCCTCCCCAGGGGCCATGATGACAGGCATGTGCCACACTACCCAACCCCCCTTTGCCTATTTTTTTAGTTGGGTTATTTGCCTTTCTTGGGCTGAGCTGCAGGAGTTGTTTGCTATCTCAGATATCAGTCCCTTCATGTGTTGTGGGAACCAGCTATGTAAAGTACAAATGTCTTCCAGCATTATCTGTGGACTGTCTTTACTTCTGTGAAAGAATCCTCTGAAACACGAAAACTTTAATTCTGGCGCTGTCCAATTTCTCATTTTGCTTCTCTTGGGCTGGTGCTTTTCAGCCATCATCTATCTAGGAAAGCACCGCCAAACACTGTATCACGAAAATGTACTTCTGTGTTCACTCTGGAGGTTCAGTCATCCCTCCCCAGTGTTCCGGAGTTGACTGAGTTTGTGCTGTGCGGCACGAGCCGCCTAGTCAATGTGAACAGGGCACACCACAAAGAACAGCGGGGCTTTGCACCGAATGAACTACAATATGGGAAAGAAGAAACCTTGTGAATTAACACGTGGATGTCACGAGCACAACTTCTTACAAGGAAAATAATTTAAGAATTCTGTATGCTTCAGCCATTAAAACCTAACTGTTATGATAGAAAACCTGACCTGTGTTAAATTGTGTTATTTTAAATTTCTCTAAAGTCAATGGATAAAATACTCAGTAAAGGGTGAACTTCAGGTTATTTTTCCTGAACTGCCTTGTAAAAGTGTCTGATATTTGCTAAGCCCCAATTTTTTCAACAGTGAAGTACTTACCTACATTCTGGAACATCTCACATGACCACGACCTACTGACAATCCTTTACAGTTTAAAATTAAAAAAGAAGTTATCATGCCTAATTACCTGCTTGCACTTCTGGAACGTCTGGCTGTGCTATAACTTTTTGGTGGTGTTTTGGAGCGTTTCTTTTCTTTATCTTCTTTCTTTTTGTCTCTAAGACATGAACACAATTTAAGAATGCATAAGAAGACAGCTAATGCCAATTTATAATGTTACAGATAAAAGCAAAAGTACGATCAAATTTAATCTCACTCTTGAACACGAATGCTATTGAGATGCTGTCTTGGAAACAGCTTCTGCAGTATATTCGCATGAAAAGTGCCATGGCAAAGCAGCCTGCGTGGTACGAAAGCGCTGTGGGTGTTGGCCCGTTTCTCCGCATGCTCGGTGCTGAACTCCGTCTCTCGGTCCTTTAACACCCACGCTCCTCAGCTGACTCCTCATTCTCCCACCCACCTCTACCACTAGGCCAGAATTCAAACACACGACCTAAACTCGTTGCCTTTCCGAAGCACACATCCCAGGATTATTCCAAGGGTCAAGCCAACCTAACCTTTCCACTGTTACATACACCGGTCTATTCGGTGCTCTTAGAAAAAGCCAATCAGAAGAGAAGGATACTACTATACTTCGGCCCGAACTCTTTCTACTGATTCCTATGCATTTACGCTTGTTTAACTCCCATGACTTTTTTAGTAACACCATTTACCCCAGACCCGAGCAGTGGGCAGATGATCAATAGAGAGAGGAGTTCTGGGTCCCAATGATCTATTTTGTTCAATGCCAATTTCTTGGTCCTAGCTTCTTGTTCCCTTCCTTTCCTGCACTGGCCTCCCAGCTCCAGCACTTGGCCTCTTCTCATGCAACTCTGTCCCACCCGATTCTAGCAGCAGCGACACCAGCTTCCAAATGGGGCTGTCACACTGCCCGCAAGGTGCCATGTGATGAGGCTTGTTTCAGCGTCACTCACACACACAGCAGCCATCCCTAAGGTCACCCGAGTGTGTGTGGACACGTGACACGCAGCTGCCTGCCTTACACTCTCCGGCCCATGTCCAGGCGTGGCTGCTAGCACCAAATCCTTAGCAGTGTTCGAGTGAGAAGAAACCAGAAAAGGTAGCAGGGACAGCTAAGAACAGTCACCAAAACTGTCACCTAGGGCCCACTGCAGTTCACATGGGATACAGGAGCCTCCTCCAGCCCCAAGGGGAGCTGCTCCTCCTGGCTGCTGCCCACCCTGCCCACCTCACCCGTCTGTCTAGCACAGGGCCTGGGGCCTCCCCAGTCTAAATCTGGTGCTCACTCAACACCAGTGGTGCAGTACCTGTTTTTTGACACACTCCTTGACCTTCTGCCTCTCTCTCTGGAGTGGGATCTTCTCCGTCTTGGGCTTTTTGATCGTCTTCTACTCCTCGACTTAGAATGTGATCGCCTCCTTGACCGGCTTCGTGATCGCCTAATGATGCAAAAGAAAGCCACCCGTGCAGGTTAAGTATAGAAAGAGAGCGATGCAGCCCTCGCCTGGCCTCAGACTGGGGGCTGACAAGGAGGGGTTGTTGTCAGGGCTCAGTACACATGGGGAACCCATCTGCTAGTTTACAAACTAGAGACACCAAGGCCGGGGATTTAGCTCAGTGGTGCCGCCACCTGCCTCAAATTAGGAGACCTCTTCAGAGACCTTTCAGTCTCGTGCAAAATCTGGCAGACCAGGCCTCCTGTACCCACTGCCCCTACAGCTCCCACGTCAGACACTACTGGAGGCTGGGTGGGATGCAACAACACACATCTGTACTGTCGGCGCTCTGGGAGGCCGTGGCAGGGCCCAGTCTGGAAACTTAGTGAGTCAGGGAGACCCTGAAGAAATAAAAAAGGGCTGGGTGCACAGCTCCTGGATTCAATCTCTAGTACCACACAAAGAAAAACGGAAACAGAAAAACCCCAACTCTATGGCAGCCCTTTCTTTGAGACAGGATCTTGCTATGTAGTTCAGGCTGGCCTTGAACGCACAGTGACTCTCATGCCTCAGCCTCCTGAGTGCTGGGATTACAGGACTACACCACCATGACCAACTTCAAAGGGCATTATTTTTCACAACTGTGACACTGTGTGTGTGTGTGTGTGTGTGTGTGTGTGTGTGTGTGTGAAACGGTATCACTATGTAGATCAGACTGGCCTCAAAATTGTAGTGATCCTCCTGCCTCAGCCTCCTGAAGGCTGGGATTACAGGTATGCACCACCACATCCAGCTATAATTCTATCAGACTTTAACCACTACTTTTTATTTAATTCTGCACTACTGCCAAGTAAAGCCTTATTTATCAATTATCAAATGTGTACTGCATACTTTACAAAAAGGCAGACCTCATGATTTGTTTTTTTTTTTTTTTTTTTTTT